GGGTTTCACCGTGTTAGCCAGGATGGTCTCGATCTCCTGACCTCGTGATCCGCCCATCTCGGCCTCCCAAAGTGCTGGGATTACAGGCTTGAGCCACTGAGCCCGGCCATGGCAAGTCATTTCATTGCTCCAAAGCCTCATCTCCCATCAGCAGAGCATGAAAGTGCATCACAGTGATCTGCTTCATGATTTCTGATTCCTCAGAGAAAAGCAGCTTGCTTGACACAAAGCAGTAAGTCTGAAAATGGTCAGAATAGCGATGTCATATATTTTCATGCCTGATTAGCAGTAGTTTAGGATGGGAGTTGGCACACTATGGCTCACAAGTGAAATCCAGCCTGTCATCTGTTTCTGCAAATTTTTATCAGAGCACAACCATGCCCATTCATATATGTATTGCCGGTGGCTGCTTTCACGCTACAATGGGGAAATTGAGTATTTGTGACAGAGACCCTCTGGCTTCCAAAGCCAAAAATGTTAACTATTTGGTCCTCTATAGTTTGCTAATCCCTGAGTTAGAAGATCACAGTTGTGCTTTTAAATGACGCAGTCAGCGCCTTTTCAGAAACAGAAAGAAAAACCTTCCATATGATGATTAAAGTTAATTTAAAATAACAAATGCCCCTGGAAAAGGGTGTCTCTGGTTAACAGTATCCCTGAAAAGCCTTCTGTCTCTGCACTGAAAATCTCCCTTCCAGGATCCCATACGGGTCTGGTTCAATGGGTTGTAATTTGAAGACATACCCCAAAGCTGTCTGTCCTCTCAAAAGTGTGGGAGGTTTTGATAGCAACACATCACGTATGCTACAGAAATTGTTTCTCAGCTTTCCAGCTGTTCAGTTTTTAAAGAACTCTAACTAAGATGTCCTGCTTCCCTTCTCCCTTTGTTTTTCTCGTTGGCATTTAGGTCATTGACATTTCCATGATCTTGGCCGAAGCAATCCGAAGGACACACAATGGGGAATCCGTGTCCTACCTGTTCAGCCATGTCCCGCTATAAATCCAGAATGGGAAGTGCCCAGCAAGCCTACTCTGACTTCTGACTTGTTTTTGTTTTCTGGATGTTTAGCTGTAGGTACTCAGCAATGATAGGTTAATCACTGGCAAAAGCATCAGATCTTTGTATATGCTAAGATTTATTGTTTCCCCTTCTAAAGCTCAAGATCATTTCTTTCCAGTTTTTGGGGAAATGGTGGTGGTTATTTGGTCTTTAAGTGAACTGTCTTAAATGAGAAACGTTTTTGTCATTTTGACTTTTAACGGGTACAGGTGATCTCTTCCTTTGTTCTTTCAGTACTTTGAGGCGACAACTTTCAAGTATATAATTTCATTGTGGAAGTCATAGTTTATATATTTCGAGGTTGCCAAAGGTGACTTCAGATTAAAACCTTCTGTGTAAATATATATGATAATGCCTATGGACATTTGGGTAAAACCCTGTATAGAATTAATTAGCCTTTTACTTTGGAGTGAACCTTGGAAAATTTATAATTATCATACCATGGATTTTGAATTTTTTTTTTTTTTGATAACTCAGTTTCATATAAACCATCTTGGTTACTGTGCTTAATTTGGACCAAATTTTATTTAGCTTAATATGGACACTGACACATTTTGGGGGTATACATCAGACATATCAGAACAGTGTAGTTCTGGATCATTTTTTAAATTACCACTTCTAAAACATAACTGTCACTTACCTGAAATGCTGCATCCTAAAATTCCAAAATTATATTGAGCAATCGCCAAGGCCTAAAGCCAATTGACCTTTACAGGTAATCATTCCAGCTAACATTAAATTTAAAGCCTAAGAATGTATAGAGCTAATTTTAAAATAATGATCTCAGATTTTTAAAAAGGATATAGGAACCTGCATTGTCATTCTCTGAATTCAGAACTGATGGTTTCTATCATTATTTAGCCCCACCTTTGTATTTTAAAGTCCTTCAGAATACTTTTAGGAACCAATGAGACTGGACTTAGCCACACGCATTGGAAATTCAGACCTTGACTATTTGGTTTTTCCAGTTCACAAAGGTGATGAAGACTGTCTTGGGAGCAACTTAATCCCAGAAGTTGTACATTTCTTGCGGCTCCTGGCGTGGAAACTTAAGTGAGACCACCGAATACATTGGTCCTGTCCAATTCTACTGAATGGGGGTGGACTTGGCACTTACCTGGCCAAAAACAGGAGCCAGAGAAATATGAATATACCAAAGTTGTTTAGCCTCCATCTTCAATTACGTTAGTCAACTTATAGATATTCATATGATCACTTTTCTTTTTAGATACTACATCAACTAGATTCAGGAATATATCATTTGCAGTGCTTGTATTGGTTTAAAATATAAGATTTTAAGATCCTCTAACATTGTACTAAAAAACTTCAATAAAATCATTCTGACTGCTTTCATAGTTTGTATTATCATTGTGGAGTAATATTTTTTGATGGAGTGATGTGTTGCAGTACCTGAAAATGTTTGCTACTTTACGATTATAGTCCAGCATACAAAATTACAGAAGAGCCAGAAGTTAATTGATGTCAGCTGTTTTCCATTTTGAAGGTGTTTCTTCCTGAAGAACTTACTAGCAATCTCCTTTCCCCCAAAGCATAACAGCTGTGCCACATAAGGTGTCCAAGTTGTTAATTCCACATGTTTCCTATAAAATTAAAGATGGTACAGTGTGTTCACACATCAGAGTAGTGATGTTCAATATCCATCTATTGGAGCAAACCAAGCTTAAATGTAGGCTGCATAAAACTTGTTCTTATTCATTGATTTCAGAAGCACCGAGAAGGATTCCTGTCTCCACAGAACAGCCTGTTCAGTGGTACTTCAAACTACTCTCGTGAGTGCAAAGTAAAGCCATAATTACGTGCTCCTGGTGAAGCTCAGCTGTAAAGTATGTGTAACACTAAGAATGGCAACATGTTGTCTTAAAGTCACAGTGAAATATGAAGAATTACAGCTAGGTCCATCTGAGAAAAAGGGTGATCACAGTGTGTATGAGAGAACATGATAGAATGTACTAGAAAGGAGGAAGGAAGTGAAGGAGAAGTGAAAGCCAAAGACACTTCATCAGCTTTACAATTGCACTTAATAATGATGTCACACCTCTTCAGAGATGTTTCATTTCCTATGGCAAGTCCTGTCTAATCCGCTGGCTGAACTACAGGGAACAGGGAAGTGGTAAAGGGAAAGATGGAGTACTAAGGCATGCAGAGGTTGGAATCACGCTGGGGAGACCAGGAAGGGCTCGGTGATCACCATTAGATGGTTCATGTCAGAATTTTCCAGAGCCCTATGGTGTGTTCCAATGTGGACTGACGCAGGACAGCAGAGGGTGTTTGGTACATGATGTGTTTCAGCAAGGATGTCCCAGGGAAGAAGGGAGTTAGAGGCTGAAACATACTCAGCCATCCTGTATCTAAATTGCGTGAAATCAACAAGGTTCCTCCTTCTCACTACCAATATTTATCTTCCTGATTTATCTCCCTGTGCCCCAGGAACACATCCCTCCACCTTTTTTCTGACCCTGCTTTCCAAGATCACATCCTGGGTGGTTTCCTTTATTGCAGTCTTTGAGCTCTATTTCCTATTCTGAAAGCATAATGCCCAGGAACACAGACTTCACCACTTACCAGAGTTTTAAAACCAACAGCAACAACGACCTTGGGTTGGTTACTTAACCCCTATGCCTCAGCGTCCTTACATGTGAGATGGGGATAATAAATGAGTGTGAAGTGTTTAGAATTGCTCGGTTTGTACATTAACTTCAGTTTTTAGAGAGAGTCTCCTGAACTACCCCTAGAAAGAATGTAAGGTATGAAGAGGCAAGATTTTCATGCGTTTTCTAGGTGTTAAGCCTAGAAGGGAACACAATGCCCTCCTGCCATTTTAGAAGGGCTACATTGTCTTGGCATGTGACTGCCTCAGTGAGGGGTAGCATTTAGGTGACAAATAGTTGCATGTTAAAAACAAAAAAACTTGATTATGCTTAAAGTAGTGGTTCTACCAGCATGTTCCGTGGCAGCGCTGGTTTTGCCCACCACATTAAAATTTTTTTTGCCCCAGGGCCAGCACTACCAAGTAGAATATGCATATGCTTTTAAAGCTGTTAACCAGGGTGGCCTTACATCAGTAACTGCCAGAGGAAAAGACTGCTGTAATTATCATACAGAAGAAATACCTGACAAATTATCGGATTCCAGCACAGTGACTCACTTATTCAAGATAACTGAAAACATTGGTTGTGTGATGACCGGAATGACAGCTAACAGCAGATCTCAGGTACAGAGGGCACGCTATGGGGCAGCTAACTGGAAATACAAGTATGGCTGAGATTCCTGTGGACATTCTGTGTAGAAGAATTGCTGATACTACTCAGAATGCTACAGTGAGGTCTCCTGGTTGTTGTATGATTTTCACTGGGATAGATGAAGAACAAGGCCCTCAGGTGTGAAAGTGTGATCCTCCAGGTTACGGCTGTGATTTAAAGCCACTGCAGCAGGAGTTAAACAAACTGAGTTAACCAGCTTCCTTGAAAAAAAAAGTGAAAAAGAAATTTGATTGGACATTTGAACAGACAGTGGAAACTGCAATTACATGCCTGTCTACTGTTTTATCAATTGATTTCAAACCTTCAGAAATAGAAGTTGGAGTAGTGACGGTTGAAAATCCTAAATTCGGGATTCATACAGAAGCAGAGATTGATGCGCTCACATTGTTGTTAGTTTACCAAATCCATGATGCCACTTACCGGTGTGTTTGGTAACATCAAACCATTATGGACGTCCCTGGACTGAAAAAGGAGCCTCTCCCACTCCTCCTCCTACTGAAGTGGTTAGGACTCTATAAATAAAAACAATGCTTTTGGAATCTCAGCATTTTGGGAGGCCAAGGCAGGTGCATCACCTGAGGTCAGGAGTTTGAGACCAGCCTGGCCAACATAGTGAAACCCCAGTCTACTAAAAATCCAAAAATTAGCCAGGCATAGTGGCGCATGCCTGTAATCCCAGCCACTTGGGAGGCTAAGGCACGAGAATCACTTCAACTCGGGATGCAGAGGTTGCGGTGAGCCATGATTGTGCCACTGCACTCCAGTCTGGGCAACAGAGCGAGACTGTCTCAAACAACAACAGCAACAACTTTCAGCTGGATGCTGTGGCACATTCTTGTAATCCCAGCTACACAGAAGGCTGAGGCAGTAGAATTGCTTGAGCCCAGGAATTTGAGACTGGCCTGGGCAACATAGAGAAACCCCATCTCTTAAAAACAACAGCAATACTTCCAGTGGGCAGTAGCAACAACAGATAGGAATGAATGCCAGGTGATTATAGAGATAGTAATCAATTGAGGTCATTTACAACAACCTGACTTCATTGTAGCCCTCATTCACCATCCATCCCATCATAAATACAACCAAAAGTGGTGCCCAATATAAATGGGAAGAACAGTCTTCAGTATCCTAACAGATGAGTTCTGTGGCCAAAAGAAAAGCCGGCTAAATGAATTTTACATTTTACATTTTAAGAGAGTGATAAAAAAAGAGAATAAGAAAGTGAAAAACATAATGCAGTAGAAAATGCCCTAAATTGGGAGTGTGGCGATCTAGATTCTGGTTCCTGATATGCTGCTAGCAAGCTGGGTGACCTTGGGAAAAATGTGTACGCCACTCTGAGTATGAGCATCTTTCTGCAAAAATTAGAGGAAAGATGGTTGCAGAAGTCCCCAGCAGTTTTAATAGGCGATGCCATTTATTCTAGATGTAGTTGGAATAGTGCTAACTGAAGGCACAGATGGTTGCTCTCCATCGGGTAACCAACTTGTTTTGGTTTGCCTGGGACTTTTCTCAATTTAGCCCTGAAAGACCTATATCTTAGGAAACCCCTCAGTCCTGGGCAAACCAGGACATTTGGTCTCCTGTTCCCTCTTCTAAGGTAGCTAGTTCTGCATCCCCAGCACCACCGTGGTAAGGAATCCCACGAGCATGGCTTTGATCTTGTGCTGGTTGCAAAAACAAAAAAGCAGGCTATATGATGAGCCCAACAATGTACAGGGGACCTGTGGCATTACAGGTCTTTTAAAATCTGTTCAATTAACTATAGAAGCTCAAGAGCTGTAGTCACAAAATCAGAGAGAAAAAGCAGGGGCACCTTTAGAAAATACCTTCAAGTCTGGCTTGATTACCAGTCCTTTGGCACAGCTACCTTTAACACCTTAAGTGGTCTTCAGAGACCCCAGGGAACAGTCCAGACAGAAGGCAGAGTGCTCTGAAGGGTACCTGATGTACGTTGTCCTTCCGCACATTAAGAGATTCTTAACATTTGTGAGGGCATGGCCATCTGTGTCTGAGGACGTATGATTCTCTGATTTTCCCTATATAAGGAGTGCTAAATCTAGTATTTTCTTGCATGGAAACTAAGACTGACCATGAATTATGGACACATTTTAAGAACTAAAACTGAACACGTCACTCTTTAAAGTCATCCTAATCATTATTTCTGGGCATATTTTAATGTACATTTACCATAGGATGAGCTCAGTATGTGCCATTGACATTTACTCACCAAAGGAACCAAGGAGCGACCCTAAATTTCTTTTCTTTTTCTTCCTTTCTTCCCTTCTTTTCTTTCCTTCCTTCCTTCCTTCCTCTCTCTCTCTCTCTTTCTCTCTCCTTCCTTTTTTTTTTTTTTGAGACAGAGGGTCTCACTATATTGCTCAGGCTGGTTTTGAACTCATAGCATCAAGCAATCCTCCCGCCTCACCCTCCAAATAGCTGGAACTACAGGTGTGCACCGCCATGTCTGGTGCAACCCTAAATTCCTTTAAGCCTCAGAAAACTCTGTGTTTAGGACCAAGGCTATGGAACAATCTTCTCAAGAGTCAAAAGAAAGATAGGCAGAGATCCCTCTCCACAGCAATGGTGGTCTGACCTTGCATTAATTTCTGCACCTGAATGCATTCATAGCATTCAAAGGGCAATTCTTTCTTGAACACTGACCAAGGCTCATTCTTTGTCCTACAATAGTCAGGCTCCTCTGAATCCTCTCCTTGACCAGGCCTATCTTGGGCTTCCCTCTCTGTCATTGTGGAATTTAGTTTGAGCAAGAATCCTGTGAAGTCAGTTTATCGAACAAACTCCTGCCCTTTGTATCTGACCACCGTCAATATCTTATCACCCAGGCTTGCCTTTAGCAAGAATTCTGTTTGAGTTGATCTAGCAAGAATCCCTCCTACCCCTGATGTTTCCTTCGTGGTTTTCCATCCACTGCCCCCAACCCTGTTCGTTGCTTACAAATCTCCACTTGTCCTTGTAGGAGCCAGAGCTGAGATTAATCTCTCTCCCCCACTGTAAGACCCCATTGCAGTCCGTGGTCCCTAAACCTATCACAAAGACCCCCTTGAATGAAGTCTTCCTTAGTGTCTTCAATGAATGTGATGAATGACTTTTTTTTTTAACAATACAAAATTCATAGAAAAAGTCCTTGAATTAAAAAGCACTCTGGGGAAAACCAGTTGGCACAAGAGTGATTTTGGAACAGTCAATAATCCTCCACTGATGTGCACTGGTGCAGCCATAAACACACTTTCAACCCTTGCATTTTGGAGAAGTTTCATTACATGTACATAAATTAGGAATTTTAATACATTGGAGAAATACCACTTGCTTCTCTGTATTTTGACTCATGTGAACATCTTGGCTTAGACATATGTCAAAGGGAAAATTCATATTTTTAGTCCTTCCACAGACAAAATGAAGGAGTTGATCTTGTTTCTTTCATTCATTCATTCATTCACTCAACAGTTCCTCATGAAGCCTCTATTAGTATACCATAGTGTTAGGATGTGGCTGTCATATAAGTACGAGATAAATAAAAGACATGAATAAGGCTTACGTGAATCTAGCCTTCAGAATTGACACAGGTCATTTTTTATTTTTTTTTGAGACGGAGTTTTGCTCTTGTTGCCCAGGCTGAAGTGCAACAGCACAATCTTCGCTCACGGCAACCTCTGCCTCCCGGGTTCAAGCAAGTCTCCTGCCTCAGCCTCCCGAGTAGCTGGGATTACAGGCATGTGCCACCATGCCAGGCTAATTTTGTATTTTTAGTAGAGATGGGGTTTCTCCATGTTGGTCAGGCTGGTCTGGAACTCCCAACCTCAGGTGATCCACATGCCTCAGCCTCCCAAAGTGCTGGGATTACAGGCATGAGCCACCACGCCAGGTGACACAGGTAGCTTTATGCACAATCATTTGATGTCAACAACACAGAAGTATGATGGCACCATGCTGTAGGCAGGATAATTTATTTGGAGTGTGTGAAACAGTGGGGTGACCAGGAAAAGGCTAGGAATGTGGCCTGCTGGGTTCAGTTCTCAGCAGTGATTCCAACACTTTTTCCCCCTCCCCAGATTTTCTGGTATATCAGGCTTTGTTCTTTTAGTATTTGTGTTGGTGTGTTCCTACTCTTTTGGTATTTAAAAAAATTGGAAATCGGAATCATTTATATTTTAAGCCTACAAAGACAGCTATATTCAGCATTAAAATGCAAAAAGAACAAAGGTGCACTTGTTTAAAAAGTATGTGACCCCATCTCTTCCAGATTAAAAACTTCCTGCTAGATACTCCATTGTCTGCAAAGCCAATTCTGGTATACTTCTACTGTTGAGGATTTTTTCCCTACATTTATTAGTTTCTCATGTTTCTCTTGTATTTTCCCGAGAGCCAATTTTATCCACAATAAACTTCCCGAAGTCCTTGATGGAGGCATTTCAGAATGGGGACAGGGGAGGGGCAAGGTAAGAGAGATGTGAAGAACTGGAGAAGGGTGTTGGGGGTGGAGAGATGGGAGGGAGGTTGGACAAACTAGCCCAAGCACCAGCCTTTCCCAGGGGCCAGACACTCCTCAGGGACAGATTCCCTGCTTTCACCTCCCAGCATGTTTCAAGGTTGTTCAGCCTCAGCCCTCTTGCCATTTGGGGCTGGCTCATTCTTTCCTGGGGGAGCTGTCCTGTGCATCGTAGGATGGTGAGCAACATCTCTGACCTCCACCCACTAAATGCCAATAGCAGCCCCCATCCCACATTTGTGACAACCAAAAGATGTGTCCAGACCTTGCCAATGTTCCTTGGGGGCAGAATCACCCCTGCTTGACAACCTGATTTATTTTAACCAAGACTTTCTTCCTCTATCTTCTTTCCTGAAGACTCAGGTCAGAGTTACAGAGGAGATTCATCCTGGCCCCTGGCCCAATCACAACTAAAAAAGCATTTTAGCACAAAGTGGATAAGACAACGGCAATCATACCTCACTTTTAAAAATTCAGTGCTAGCGTTTTGGTAGAAAATGAGGTTTACACCAAAATAATCCCATTATCCTTGCCTTTTTGTTTTTTGGTTTTTTTGTTGTCGTTTGTTTTGTTTCATTTCTTTTTTTTTTTTTTCTTTTTTTTTTTCCAGAGACAAGGTCTCGCTCTGTTGCCCAGGCTTGAGTGCAGTGGTGTGTGCGGCACCATGCTTGGCTAATTTTTAAATATTTTTGTAAAGACAGAGTCTCGCTATGTTGACTAGGTTGGTCTTGAACTCCTGGCCTCAAGTGATCCTCCTGCCTTAGTCTCCCAAAGCACTTGGGATTACAAGTGTGAGGCATGGCACCCAGCCACATTATCCTTTTGATGCAGGGCTACAAGCACTGATTTCTACATCTGCCATGACCTGGGCACAAGATTTTGAATCCGTCACTAAATTATTCCCTCAAGTTCCTCTAAGAACAAT